AGTCCATGAAGTGAATCAATTTGGCCTTAGCCACTTCTGAGCCTTAGCTCAGGAACAATCCATTTGGCCTTCAGCCACTTCCGAACCTTCAGCCCGGGAACAATCCATTCGGTCTTCAACCGACTTCCGAACGTTAGTCCGGGGACCACCCAATTGGCCTATAACCAAAATGGGGGTTCATGCAACACATAACACATAGGAGCACGTAATAGCATTTTGGGAGGGGAAAGGCATATAAATAAACTTACGTGTGATCATTCACATACTAAGAATAGTCCTAAGGGTTCATACAACTTCCATCTAGGTCAACGGGTTACCAATTCAACTAGCATGCAATCCCTAAGACTTATCTAACCTCCGAATGGTACCCGAAACATCAAACTAGACTCAAGCATGACAAGCGGGGTCCGTTGAGACGCCATGGGGGCGGGGAACATCAAACGGGGAAGCCGGGGACCCGGGGTGGGGTACGGACCAGCGGGTAGCCGGTGGGTGGAGGGCCACCCGCCGGCTGCCCGCCGGAGGACACTGTTCCGGGCAGCGGGTTGCCGGCGGGCAGGCGGTTGCCCGGTGGCTGCCCGCTGCCGGGCGGTGTCCTTTGGGCAGCGGGTAGGTGGCGGGTTCCCCTACCCCCACCTACCCCCCACTGACTCTTTTCTCACATATTCGTCCCGGGAACCTTTGTGGAACCCGAAACCATGTTTAGACACTTTTAAACACAAATAACGACGCCACGTAAGCAATTAACGGATCCAAAGCAAGAATCACGTAGGACTTATCCTATTACGACTTCTAAATATAAACAACACCGGAACATCCGAATTCCCTCCCAAATATAAATCAAGAACATCCCAATACATATTCCCAATCCAACCTAGGGCTCTAATCCCACCCAAATCATCAAGAACATATTTTATTTTAACATCAAGGAACATCAAGATTCGTCAAGAATCATCATATCAAAATTAAGAACTTCTTTCCAACATCAAGATCATCAAGATTATATCAAGAAAGCATATAATTCATCTCATCAATAATCAAGAACGCAACTCAATAAATCATAGAGGAATTCAATCAAGACACAAAGATATAGAGGGAGATCAAGGAAGGAGATTATAGCGAAGAAAACAGGTTTTGTTGAGACATGGGTTACCTCTTAGCCTTAATTAATTTCCTTGGCTATGAAGGGTCTTTCTTTAAGATTTCTTCTTTCTTGATTTCTCCTACGGGGATTCTTGGAACTTCTTGTGTGGTGAAAGATTATTTGTGGTGTGTGATCTGGGTGCCTCCTATGACCCTATTTATATATATATTTTCCCAAGCGTCCTAATTGGGGTCTAAATACTATGGGCTTGCTAATTCTATTCCTTATAGGACTAAGGGGTTGGTTATAGGGATGTGGGCCCATGGACAATGGTGGACCTTTCTTAGTTGATTAATGGGTTTAATTCTCCTTTTTAGGGTAAGTGATTAAATATTTAGTTAGGGTTAGGGGTCGTAACACGGGGTGTTACACACTCCCCCCCTTACAAGAGGCTTCATCCTCGAAGCCGATGCGTGGGTCCACTCTTTCACTCCTAGATGTCACGTATTTTGGTCTCCTGGTTAGGAGATGTGGCTTTATGTGCTATCCTCGTTGGGGTAGACTGGACTTTTGGTGCGGTGTGGTTTTGGAGGGTTCGGGTTTACCTAGGTTTCCTGCTCTTGAGCTGGACGCCCCGCGAGTGTCTACCATGGCTTCGATAGTTGCCACCCTTTGGTCCAAAGCGCGTGTTGCGCAGATTAGGGACGAGAATCCCTCGTCTATGATCTGGTTCTGTCAGGTGAGTTGCACTAGAATGCGTTCGTTGATGGATTCTTCATTTTGGCCCCTTGGGTTTCCTCTTGTTTGTGCTAGCGCCGGTGGATTAGGCTCACTATCTTCTTCTTGTTCTTCATTTTCCCCCGGTTCCCCACATTCTTACATTGCTCGCTTGAATTACTTGTTGGAGATATCCAACTGATCTACCAACTCTCTTCGTTCCTCCTCGGGTTTAAGGCAAATCTCTTCGAGGGTGATGTACTGTCCCCCTTCGGTGTAGTAGATATCATTGCGACGAAGGTTCTGGGCATTAAAAACCATGCCATTTGCGGTCTTGATCTCGGTGTGGCTCAGGTCTACCCCATTTTTCTCCATGATCCAACATAGGATCATCCCGTAGGGTAGGCTAAGCCGGTTGCTAGTTTTGCAAAATTCCATGTGTTTTAACATGAGGGCCGGTAGATTGAACTTGTTTTTGTACTTCAAGAGATAGGCGAAAGTGCACTCTAAACTCCCCACGTCTTTGCTTTTATTATTTGTGGGCAAGAGGCTGTCAGTCACGATCATAACCAATATCTTTTGCTCCGCGGTGAGCCACTTCCTATTTGGTCGTGTGGCCGAGGTGAAACCTTCCTCCCTTCCGAGTAGGTACCCGAGGTAATCCTTGTACCCCGTACTTTGGGTATCAATCCACCCTTTCCGGTCATAGTTTGACACACCCGTGGTGGTCAATTTCAAGAGTTTGGCCAAGCGGCCTTCGAAAAGTATGATTTCCTTGCCCTGGACCTTAGTGGTGATTTCTAGCTTATCACCTCTTTTGATGGCTACCAAATGTTGATAGAATTCCTTCACCAATTCCGGGTACGTATCCCCTTTAATGGTGAGATAGGTGTCCAAGAGCCCTTGGTGATTGAGCATATCGACCAATTCCGGAGAGAATTGATCGGGTTCGAGGGCTTTACCTCCGATCACGGTGTAGTCGGCATTGCTCCATTCTGGGGTGCGGACTCCGAGGGGCTTTTTCGGCATTGTGAAGTTTCCTTGGTGACGGAGATTTTTCCGGCGAGTTTCCGGTGGGGTTCCGGCGAGTCTCCGACGGTGAACCCGGTGGTGGTGCGGTGCTCCTGTCGGGTTCGGACAGCGAGGGGGAAGGGTGGCGCACTGTGGTGGCGGTTGGGCGCGTTTTGGCATCGCCTGGCAGCGGGTTGCGGCCGGGCGTGGCGTGGGCGGCCTCCGGGCGTCGACGGCGGCGTCTCGGGGCGATGGGGTTGGCCGGGTGGTCGTCGACGGTGTGGGGGTTGACGGGCGGCGACCGGGCTGGTGGCGTGTGGCCGACGGGTTCGTGGGGCGTTGTCGGTTTTGGGGTGGGGGTGCGGAGGAATGGAGAGAGAGAGTGAGGGGGAGGGGGTGTGAGGAAGAAGAAGGGTTTTTGATTTGGGGGTCTTTGAGGCTTTTTATGGATTTGTGGGGGTTTAAGAAGGGAGTGTTCCCTTAAGGTTTTAAGAAACTCTCATAGTCTAGTTGTTTGGAACTTGGTCTTATGAGTGGGAGGTTTAGGGTTCAATCCCTATTGATAACATTAACACAGGTTTAGGGTTCAATCCCTATTGATAACATTTGCAGTCCTTGTTGTGTGTTCTTTGTCTTTTTCCTTCTTTTGTCTTCTAGTGGTGGGGGATTTGATTGGCCCTCCTTGTGGTTTGTTGTTGTCTAATTTTCCCTTTTTATGCTATAATATTTCGATTTTATTTAAAATAATTTCGAGTGGCTAAACTAAACAAGTAGTTTTACTATAAAGGGTGGTTACAAGGGGTTCCTTAGCTTATCCTAAACAGAATTCATCTTCTTGATTTTCCTGTGGTGGATTCGCGTGATCCTCGTCTTCCGGGGTCATGTTTTCTTCGTTGAGGTGGCCCTCGTCCCCGAGTTCGGCTTGTGTGCGGCTCATGATGAACACTTTTCCGGGGGCACCGTGGTTCCCCTGGTTGCTTGTGCCTCCGCGCTGGCCCATGTTCATGGGGCGTGAGTTTGAGGGTTGTAAGCAGTGGAAGGCCTTGTGTCCTTCTTTTCCACAGTTGAAGCACCGTAAGGGGTTCCCCAAGCAGTCCTTGCCTCTATGGCTTTGGTTGCGTTTTGGGCAAGGGAAGCCCCCTGTATTGGCTTCGTTGTTTCTTGGGGGTGGTCTTTGTCCAGTTGGGTTGTTTGGCCTTGTGTTGGTGTCGTTTCTCGTTCTCTTTATTGGTGGTGCACCTCCTCCTGTGTTCCTCTTTCGAATCTGATCTTTAACCCCACATTGTAGTAGTTGGATTCGGTAGAGGTTGGCAGAACTGGAGTAAGCCTCGTTGAGGGTCCGGGGCCCGCTTACTACTAATGCTTTTCGAGCTTCGAAGTTGAGGCCCGATATAAACCTTTCTATTTTTGTTGATTCTGTGGGGACTAACTCTGGCGCGAAGCGTGCCAGTTCGAGGAATCGTTTATGGTATTCCGTTGTAACACCCCCATTTTCCAAAACCGAATTAATTTATAAAAAGGCATTTCTTCAATTAAAATTTCGTTATTTAATTGCGGAAGCTAAACCAAACAAGGAAAACGGGATGGTACCGCCATGTTTAGATACAAGATATATCTAAACGCACAGGCTAAAACCAACACTACTAAAAATAACCCAAAACTAGTACTAGTCTATTAACTCAAATAATACAATTGTCTAGATACAACTTCTAAATTTTCTAACAAAATAAAACTCCAAAGCTCTAAAGGATGAATCGCTCTCATGCTTGTCATGCAAGATGTACCTGCAAAAGAAACTAAGGAGGGGACAAATTCAGCATACCACAGCTGGCAAGACTTACTCCACCTCGTAAAACATTTGCACATAACACGTAACAGTTTGGAGCACATAATTCCACGTTAACCCCTTAATCATATTATCCTTAGATTAATTCTTCATACTACTCCACATTTATTCACCACTTACCAAATCAATCATATAATAAATATAATTTATAATTCCACACAACATTCCAGAACTTGCCATATAATCATTTAACTTCACATAAAATTCCACAACCTCCACGTTTCACCACTTTTATCAATAATAGGATAGGATTTAATCCTTTATTTACCACCAATTTCCATCAACCAAAAATATATTATGACATTTTCATATTTATCCACTGTTTACCACCAAGTCAATGAGGAGGAAAAATACCAGGCAAGAGCCATTACTTCGGCCCCAGTGACCAAAAGAAAACAACCGGAGACCCACACAGTTGGTCCGAGATCAATTCCTTAAGTATGCATACCCCCATTGGGAGGACCTACACCAATGGGCAGAACAAACTCGAGGAGTCTGTGGGATTAACTACCCAGCCCACACCGGCATGTAAAGTAGACTCCACATCCATAATCAATCGTGGGATTAACTACCCGGCCCACACCGGTATATAATAATAATCCACCATCAAACGTGAGAGACCAAACTCACAAGAAAATCCGGGTACAAATCCTCCATGACCAAAGTGAATTATAATATAATTTTTATACCAATTAATTTGCTCAAAATCTCTATAACACCCCAGATTTTCGAAACTTTTAAAGCTTATATAATAAATGTAATTTCTCATAAAATCCCAAACAGAGTAATACTAATCACAAGTGTACGGGGTGCTATGCCACATCTGAGCTGGAGAACTCAGATGCACAGGCTAAACTAACTAATATCCTCAATACATCATTATGGCACGCAGGCCGAAAGGAAAGACTATCTATCTAATCCACGATCTTCTAGCGCGCTCTGGGATCAAGCACAGGTTCAAGTCCCGGCAAGCCCTATGTCCGTGTGATCAACAAAAGGGATTTGAATACATAGAGTGACTCATCGTATTGTGTCATTGATCCTTGAGTACGAGTTCTAGATGAGTTAGGGGCTCTCGTATGTCCTTCCTGCTCAGTAGTTCGGTCCGGTTTCTAATTAGCAACCTCGTCACCTTCACAGGGTAGTCGGTTATAAGCCAACATTGTCTTTTCTTGTCTTGATTAATGGCAAGTCTTTTCGGCTTTTCTTGAAGTTTGATTTGTCGTCCGGTCCCTGTTTAATCCTTTAGTGACCAAATGCTTAGTGATGCCTTTCTCTTCCTTGGAATGCATTTGATTGGATGCTATCGATGTCGCCTAGCGTTTGGCGATTTTGGGTGTTTCATGTACTTCTTACGGTGCCTTAAAACCATCAAAGTCCTCATTGCAGGGTGAGATCTTTATTGCAGGGAAGCCTTAGTTGTACGACACTCTTCATGCGTCTGTTGCTTCTTCCTGTGATGCCGAGTCATTTTCGACAATTTGCACCAAAGATTAAGAAAAGACTACTTCATTTCCTTGCATCTAATTGGTGACCTAGTTTTCCTTACAGGTAGTTTCCCACTCCCGTTACTCCTTATTCCGGGTCTTGTTCCTGAATTCCCCATTGTAGAAGTTGGATTCGGTGAAGATCAGCGGTGCTAGTGTGAGCCGTTACGGTTTAAGTCTTTCGAGTTTCGAAGTCGAGACCACTGTAGTTATCAATGTTTTAGGCGGAGGGATTCCGCGTACATGGTTGTCCTTTCATGTGCGGGGTAGAGACGTCCCTGTGACCAAGCCTTCAGGGTTTCCCAGTTGAATCCCAGTTCTCGCCTATAGGTAGGTCCTTCATGGATCTACCAAAGATCGGCCTCGTGTCTGAAGTAGAATGAGGTTATCTCTATGCGGCGTTCCCCTGGGCATTCCACTAACCCGAGGATTTTGTTGAAGGTTCAGATTTATTCTTCGAGGATCGCGGGGTACTCCTCCCCCGAGAAGGTGGGTGGCCAATGATTTGAAATTTGTTGAGTGAAATCCGAGTTCCCGCTTGGTGGTGGTGGTCGGTTGTTGTTACGGATGATTGCGTTGCTTTAGTGCTTGGGCGGCCTGAGTTTAGTCGTTGTAGTTTCTGAGATAGAGATTTGTGAGCGGAAGGATCAGGGGTCCTTGACTGACTTCTTGTTGGCACCATCAGATGGTTTTCCGGGCCATTGTTTATTGTAATGACGAGTTAGAGTGTTGTACCCTTACCTTGATGCGGTAAGCGAAGGGGAGAGTTCTTTAAATTAAATGAAGGATAGAGTGAGGGGAAGTTATGTGGTGATAGGTAGGCCCACAATCTCACCACGCGTCCTAAGATCCCTGAATCCTATGTTCCTAAATACCTAGAGTTCAAGCCTAATGTCCTAAAGTCTGGTCTTAAGAGTCTTATCCTAGGGTCAAACTTAGGCTCTGATACCAACTGTAACACCCCAGATTTTCGAAACTTTTAAAGCTTATATAATAAATGTAATTTCTCATAAAATCCCAAACAGAGTAATACTAATCACAAGTGTACGGGGTGCTATGCCACATCTGAGCTGGAGACCTCAGATGCAAAGGCTAAACTAACTAATATCCTCAATACATCATTATGGCACGCAGGCCGAAAGGAAAGACTATCTATCTAATCCACGATCTTCTAGCGCGCTCTGGGATCTACTCGTCTGTGCCTGAAAGCCAAATATATCTGTTCAGCGAGAGATGCTGGTAACCCACTCCAACGCGTTGAAATACATTATAGATAGATATAAGAAAAGTCATTTTGAAGCAGGAAGATATATCCTAGGAAAGTCTAGTTTTAAAACTGGAATAGACTCGACAAATAGGGATAAGCACATTCAACAATTATAATCAAGCATATAAAGATACTAGCATATATCCTATGGTCACAGGTTCACTTCATCTCATTCATGTCATCATTCCAATCCGTATCTCATCACACACAAGCACACTTTGGTGGCGCCACAGGACCAATCGCATGCCCATACATGAGGGTCAGCGCATATAGCTCTGACACGGCCCCGCAGCACCCTGCCTCGTATCGCAATACGAAGGTTGGCGGCCTGTTACCACCTGGTCTTCCTCACCCGCGAAGGTTGGCGGCCTGTTACCCGACACCAAGTGACCTATATCCCGGTGACCAGTAGGTTGAGGAGGCGGCACATGTGATACCCCGATTATTTTGAATATTTTATCTTAAATATTATTTATTTTGATAAACCATTTTACTATATAAATATTATTATATTAAGTAAATTGTTTCACTAAATCGTCCATAATTATTTTATTTTATATATTGTATGACCTAAAATATTTTTACATATATTACGGAGTATTTAATAATTTTATTTTGACTTACTATGCGTGTAATATGTGTATCATTCTAATCACTAGCCTATCAATTAACAGTTTCATGCTATTCTTAGTTATTATCCTAAATATTATCTTAATCAATAATCATCATTACCATCCCAATTAATTCTAATTATTATTCTAATCCTATCTTTCTATCTTCCGAATGACAGTTTTCCTAATCATTAGCTAAATGAATATAAAATGTATATAAATTGTTATTCTAATTCTAATATGAACGTTTTCCCTAATCCTAGCATTTTAATTAAGTTTGATTACGGTTACCTACGTCCCTAAGGCTATAATAGTTATATATATTAATTATACGAATTGCAATGTGATCTTAGCACATATATATACATATAAATACAAATTCATACGATCATTTTTGTAGCATGGTTTCTCTCAATCGCAAATATATATGTAAATGGTTTTCTCCCTTTTCAAAGTATAAGTCTTCTTCTTCATCGATTCATCTAGCAAGTGAGGATCCCAATTTTATGGATAATGGTGTGCAGAGATTATTTTACTTTGCTCGTAGAGGTAAGACTTATGTCTACCTAAAATTTATTTACCCCAAATTAAAATCCTTTTACTAAGTGCTTATGTGCTAAATTATTGTTGGTTAACTATGTCAAATATTTTGCGATTATTGGTTATAGTATGTGATGCGGCCCAACATATGAAGATCCATTAAGAGTACTAATTGGGCCAATCACAAGACCCAAGTCCAAACAATTAAGGCAACTCTTCATTGGTGATGTTCAAAGATGGTGGAAATCCAAGTCAAGCCCATTTGCAAAATATGAAGAATAACTTAAGGCTTTTTTATAATTGTTTAAGTGCTGATTTTGGTGATTAAATTAGGCCCAAATCAGCCCTATTATTTTTGGTCATCATTAATTTAAATTGTTTGGCATAAAAGAGAAAACACTAGTTGTATTTAGAAAGGATTCCTTAAATCCTTTTCTAAATAAAACTCTATTTATGTGTTTTCTAGATTAGGTTTAGGACTCTTTTTCCCATTGTATTTAGATTACAATGCTGCCCTATACCTATAAATAGGGCACATCCATATCAGTTTTAGGCAGGCTTTAATTCAATAAAATTCTTAAGTTTTTCTTTACACTTGTGTAAGAAACCTTATGGCTAATTGTGGACTCAATTAGTGGCTAGTCGTGGACTCGACTAGCAAATTGATTCGTGGACTCGAATCAATCTTACTTTCTTCAACCTTAGATTTAGGTTCGTGGACTCGTTCTTGAATCGAAGGAAACTAGATCCGAATCTAGTTGATTGAAGATTGCAACATCGAGGTACTTGAAGCTACATGGGATTCTTCCAAGTCTTTGAGGATTCGAGACAAAGGGTTTCTCGTGAGGTTTAAGGTATTTTGATCCATCTCTATCTTCACATTGAGAGCATTCTTGGGACAATATTCCATCTTTATTTGAGCCTTGGACTAGGTTCATATCAATTTGGTATTCAGAGCCTAGGTTTGTCTCGTTATCATTGGAAATTTGGTTTCTTTGGTTCCCTAGGTTTATCTCGTTCTTATCTTACATACTACATTTATTCGTGTCTTATTCATTAAAAAAACCCCAAAAAAAATTTTCTTTTGCATTCTTGATTGTGTTCTTGAATCTTGATACATGTTCTCCAGTTTCTTGAAAAACAATCCCGAAAGTGTTTTCCCTTTTTCCCGTCCAATATCAATGAGACCTCACACCTCCTAAGCACCATATTACCACATATTCTGTCAAGAAAACAACCCCATCTTACCCTTACCTATATCAAAATCGCATTTACGCGCAATCACGTCTCAATCACACCCTGTCCAGATTTCCGCGAGCTGTGACCAGTTTCAAAGAATTACCTATATCTCGAGATCCACTAGTTAGTTTTATCTGAAATTTGGATATGTTGTAGATCTCTTCTGGGGCGTTCTTTTGATATATTATACACTGTCTAATTCCTTCTGGTTAGTGAGATATTGATCTCCAAAGTCAGGGCATTGTTTATGTTTTTCTAGGCGATTCTTGAAATTCTTGATTCTGTTTTGAAGGGGTTGTGTG